AAATACCCATAATAATGAAACAGCAATATTGTTTGTAATTTTTTAAATAATAAAAGCAATAACAAAAAAGAGTATAATTTAATACAGAATGTTAACCGTCAACAATAACTAAATGCAAGTATAGGTACCTTTTGGATTTGGTTTGCACTCTAGTAGGTATAGTACCAAACTGTAGCCATTGTAAAATACCTGCCACCTGGGTATATTCACACTTTATGAGTTGTCAAGTTATAACGTATAGTAATGTAATGATCAAGTGAGCGAATCGTATGCAGTAGGTGCAGCCCGGCACTATTTGTTCAGTACAGAAAATGTTGTCAAATGTTGTATTTTGGTTGTTACTCACTACTGATGGCACTGCTCCAGCAATGAGTCGACGGCGAAATACCGCGCCTGCGTAATCACGACCAGGAACGAAATGCCTCGAACAAAGCTTGGAGTTATTCGATATCCGTAGAGGATTGACACCATTGTTCTCGGCGAACATCACCCACTGACGCTTCTGAAAGACATTCGCTGGAAAACTAATACAATAATTATTGTATTATGAATTATTATGTATTTTAATCTCAAAAGTCATCGTATATATTATGTAAATGCACTTACCCATGCACTGAAACGCCATCGACGCCATCCACGTTGCCACAAATCGCACAATGCTTGACCATCGTTATATTTGCCTAAAAAGATATAGAATAACATATTGAAAAGGTAACGGCCAAACATTTTATATATTATTATAATAATAATAATATTATAAGTAAAACTCCGTGTTCGTGTAATGGAATTGTCTTATCAGTACCTATGTTATCAGTGAATAATCCGGTGTTGTGTGTTTATTTTTAGAAATTCAGTAAATTGTATTATTCTTACACGGTAGGTATAAAATATTATTACGTGTACATACAGTATCGAGTTCGAGTATGAACTAAACAAAATTAACATACTATATTACTATTTATAAATATGGTCTCGTAAGTCGTAACTGCAAAAAGCGTGGCTTAAAGATTTTTGCGCACGTAGGCGTTCAAGTCTATGTCCGGATATTATGAACACGGCAAGCGGAAATCCAAATGTCGTATTAATATCGAATACGAAACGCGTAAAGGCGGAAATGGCGTGTATATAGTAATAAACAATATCGCGTATACGGAAACACATCGAATGAAATACGTACAATGTCATGAATAAGCCAGTAGGTACGCGCGGGCTATACAAACGTTATACGATTAATTATTATTATGTATTTCAAAATTGTACTTACCGGTTTTGAAAAGCGCCCAACGCAGAACACAATACGCCAAGAAAAGCTAATATATTATATGTATAACTGTATAAGCGTTTATATTATGTTTTTCTGTGCGCTTGGGTTGTGTGTTGCATGGGCGTTCGTCACAAGATGACGTTAGACACACGGGCGCGTTTCGCGTCGCAAAAGTTGTCCCCAACATCGACAACGTCGACAACACTCCGACGACCAACCCGTATCAATGAATAATGGTCATACTGTAGCATTGCGTGTATCGTTGATATTCTCGTGATTATTGACCGTCCGACACGCATAAAATATAATCGTATGTATTCCAATATAATCCAGGCCATGTTAAAATAATATCAAATACTCATATATATATAGTCCTATCATTATGCAATTTAATTATTGTATAGAATTTGCAGCAGTACCTACTACATAGTAGGTATATATTATATATTTCATGTTTTGACGTCCATCAAAGGGCCTCGTAGCCGGCGATCCTACCGCGTCGGACAGCAAAAACGCGATCTTCACGAAAAATAATCGAACCTTCCGACGCATGAATTCATGCCTGTACATTATAGTAATGCCTACTCGATGGCGGCAATTTTGGCCGTCTCGTTTCAGAGAACCCGCTCCGCCCCGGGACTCGATGTCTAGCGGGGAAGGCGAATAAGTCGTCAACGGGGAGGGTAATACCACTAAAACGGGCCAAGACTCGGACTTTAGAAAAAAACGACTCGACGCATGTATTTATACGGCCTATATATAGCGATACCTACACGGTACCTACTCTCGTTTCCGCGACGCCGTACCTCACCGGGACTCGTCTGTAAAAAAGTAAAACATCGCGCCGGCAATACATAAATAAGATTCAAACGGGGAGGGTAATACGACCGAGAGGGGCTAAAACTCGAATTTTTGAAAAAAAAAGACATCGAACTCTTCGACGCAAATATTCACGCCCGTGTAAAGTAATAAAGATACTGTCCGCTCTGCTAAATCATTTGACGGGGAACTCGAATAAGTCTTCGACGGGGAGGTCCGAAGTCCGTAGAGGCGGTAAAACTCGAATTTTGAAAAAAAATCGGAACATTTTCGTTAAATATGATAAGACGGAAGTGATGGCGAAACGACGAAAAAAAAAACTCGAGAAAAAAATTCCGATTTTAACACGGCCGCCGCAAATTATCGATAATCCCGGGGACCGGAATCGAACGCACGACCTACGAGTATCCTAACCTAACGCCTAACCTACCGAGCCACCTACTGAGTTGTATACTGGAGTCAAATCTATGACTATTAAGCCGCGTCGCCGTCCCCGCGAAAGGCGAACGCCGTTTGGACGGCTGTCAAAGGGCGTTTGATCGGGCGATCCGACCGCGTCGGCGAGCGGACGACCGTGTCCGCGGCCCTCGGACGTTCAAAACGCGAGATTCGCGAAAAAAATCGAACCTCGGGACGCATGTATTTATGCCTGTATATATCGATACCCCATCGGTACCTACTCTCGTTTAAGCGACGCCGCTCCTCCCCGGGACTCGTTTTTGAAAAAGTAGGGCCAAGCGGCGACTATAAATTTAGCGGGGAACGCGAATACGGCTCCGACGGGGAGGTCGGACGTCTCGCGAAAGCGCCGAACGCGACTCCAGTCGAAAAAGTCGGGAAAACCGTCGAAACGGCGACGACGCGGCGCGCTCGGCGATCGATTCGTCCGCCGGGGGACTCGTTTTTGAAAAAGTAGGGCCGCGCGTAGGGTATAAATTTAGCGGGGAACGCGAATAAGATCCAAACGGGGCGGTCGATACGCCCTATAGCGCCTAAGACTCGAATTTTCGAAAAAAACGGCAAAAAACGCGCTGGACGGCGGCGCTCGTATCGCACGCGATATCGGCCGCGTTGGGCCCCCCGGGAGAAAAGTAGGGCAACGCGCCGACTGTAAATTTACCGAGGAAAACGAATAAGGTCCAAACGGGGCCGACCGAGGCCCCGAGGGGGGTATGAGTCGAAAGTTTTGAAAAAAAAATCGTGAATTTCGAGAAAAATCGCGTAAAATGATAAGGAGGAGTGATAACGCGGCGACGGCTCCGCCGCCGACGGGAGGGCTCCCCATTGGCCGTCCCTTAAGTACGATGCGAAAAAGGACCGCGTGTCGCGCCACACGGGTTTTCGTTTTATATAGTAAGACTAGCTCTCCGAGCGTCGTAGTAGTAAAAATATTCATAGATACAGTCAAGTAATATTATAAAAATTTAAAAAAACCAGTAACTATAATTTGTAAAATAACGTAAGAAAATCGAAAAAAAACATGCTTACCTACATAAATACATATAATATTAATACATAAAAAATGAAATATGGTAGATTTATTAACAAAAATTGAACGTACATACACAAAGTAAAGTTAAAATAATAATAATAGTAAAGAGAAAAGATCGGAAATTTGTAAAATTACGGAAAAAAAATGTAAAAAATATTCGAGTTTCGGGCGGCCGTGTAAACCGTATGGCAATGACCGCAGCGACGTCCCGAGAGCGTACGGCGGATTCGAACCCGGGACCTACGTGTTTTCTACCTAACGCCTAACCTACTCGGACACAATTTGAGATATGAATTACGGTCAAAACATCAACACTTAAGCCGTGCGTTTAAGGAGCGACGTAAGCCGATATATTCGATGTTCATCGATGTAATCGCATATAATTCGCTTGTAATACGCGCATCTCCCATATATATATTTAACGGAGCTCGTGAAAAGCGTTTTCCGTTAATAATTATTAAATCAATAGGCAAAAATTAAATTATACACGTACATACATGTATATATACACGTACGGTCGGTCGTAATTTCTAAACGCGATTGCGAAGCGAACCGACCGATTTCGTAAGAAAAGCGTATATATACGGCTTTAAAAAGACGTCAACTACACGATTCGGGTACGAACGACGTGCGAAAAGACGAAACTGTCGGAGAAAACGAAAGAAATCGGCAAAAAAGTCCGGCCGGGAGCGTATTTTGCGATCGACATTGCGACGGCTACGGACGGCGAACGGATATAAACCGCACACCGGCGGCTTCGAGAGATAGCGAGCTACGCGAATCAAATATGAATATGAGCGAAAAAGGCTAGAAAACGGTCGAAATCGTGTAAAAAGTGTAAATTTCGAAAATTTCGAAAATGATAAGAAAAGAAGTGATAACGCGGTTATTGCCCGCCGCAGAATCTGAACGTTGCGATTGGCCGGGCCGGAAAAACGACACAAAAGTCGTCTATCCCCGTGGACAAAACTGGGGACTAACCTCGTTTTATAATATAAGCAGAGACGGATTTACACAATTGCCGCCCCTAGGCTAATATTTTTTTGCCGCCCCATTAAACTTATCAACGAGAAAACGTATTTTCAAATACTTATTTAACATAAGTACTAAAAAAATAAATCATAAAGACTGATACTAAACAATAATTAATAGCGGTTATGTTAATAAACTGTTCTAATCAAGTAAATAGTATAACAATACAATATTTATTAAAATATAATATATCACCATTTTTTTGAATGAATTTGCTGTACCAATCAAATATAATTATAATATAGATAATATAATTAAGTTCCTTCAAAAAATTAATGTTTTTAATCAAATTTTAACTATAGTATTATAAAAAAACAAAAGCAACTAATCAAACTTAAAAATTCGTACTTACGTATTATTATACAACATATAAAAATAATGTAAAAAAATAAACTATTTCATTTGTTTGCGTCTTGCTTTTTTTTCCGCAAAATTTTGAATTATGTCTTCAAATTGTATTTCTTGTGTCATTTCACTTTCAATCGACAAAATCGCCAAGGAGTTTAATTTTTCTTGTCCTAATTTTGAACGTAAATAAGTTTTTATCCGTTTCAAAGAAGAAAATGATCTTTCCGCAGTACAATTAGTGGCAGGTGTTGAAATATAAATTCTCAAAATTATTTCTATGTTTGGAAACACCGACTTTAAGTCATTTTTATAAATTATTTCCAATAGTTTTAATGCAGTGAATTTTTCTTCATTATACTTGGAAATTAAAAGAGATCGAAAATGTAATAGTTCGTGCTCAAACTCTTCATAATCTATATCAGTTTTATAAATTTTACAAAGTTTTTTAGCTTTTTCTGATATTTCATTTTGTTTCATGTTTTTAAGTGTGTTTATAAAAGAAAAAGGTTCACAAAAATATTTATAGGCTTCACGTCTTTTTTGAAGCTCATTATTTAATTTATCTATTATTGTTAAATATGTATTGATTCTAAAATGATTTCTTCCTGTTAACTGAACATCGTCTTGTCTTGATTCATCATATGGAATTGTTCTTTTCTTTTTTCTTGAAATTGTTGTTTTATATTCTTTGATTTGAGCTCTTAAAATTGCCATTTTCTCAAATTCATCAAAATTATCTCTCTGAGATAATATTAAATTTATTAGTGAATCGTACAACTCCAAAACTACTGTAATATCTATTTCAACACTTTGAAGTTTTTTACTTACAGCATTTAGTCTGTTTAATATAAATCCCCAAAATATAGCCATAAACGTTGTCTCGAGTTTTTCAAACTTCTTGCGCAATCCAGAGGCTTCATTTCGAGTTTCAGCTGGTTTACTATTGTCATTTTCAAGTAAACTTAAAGTTTTTAATATCTCATCCCATGAATCATTTAAACTCACACAAGCATCATCTCTTGATGACCATCGAGTTCCTGAAAGACGTTTTAGTGTTTTTGATTCAGACTTTAAATTAAACATTAAAATTTTCCATCTGTGAGTAGATCCGGAAAAAAATGTATAAAGATGTTGAACGTGGAGAAAAAGTTGAGCAGCTTCATTAGAACATTGCACAGCATGAGTACCAACTAAATTTAATGAATGCGCCGCACATGGTATATATACAGCAAGGTTATTTAATTCTTTTATTTTTGCCTGTAATCCGTTATAACGTCCAGACATATTATTAGCAGTATCGTAAGCCTGGCCTCTGAAATCATTTATACTAATATCAAGGCTTTCTAAAACGGCTTTTTTCATATCGTTAGCTTTATGTCCACAACTAGGTATAAATTGAATGAAACGCTCAACAGGAATACCTTCATACACATATCGTACAATAAAAGACAGTTGATCTATATGTGTTATATCAGGTGTGGAATCAATAATTAATGAAAAATATTTACATTTTTTAATCTGATCAACAATTGTATGGATTATTTTATTTGCCATAAGTTGCATAATATCTTCATAAATTGTGGATGATAAATACGATGTATGACCACTGCCCGGATTTCCATATCGTGAAATATGTTGAGCTAAAAATGGATCAAATTGTGCCACAAGCTCAATTGCCATTAAAAAATTTCCATTGTGGACTGAACCAATAACTTCATTTTGACCTCTAAATGGAAGTCCACGCGACGATAATGATTTTATAACGGCTACAACTCTTCGTAAAATATTTTTCCAGTAAGATATCTCATCTTCAAGTTGTGAAAAAAGCTTTTTATCAATACGATCACTAAGATTTGCCCTAGTTTTCATTGTTATAAGGGATTGTTTATGATTTGTAGAACATTCGTGTTGCTTAAAACGAGATTGTGCGTTTTTCCAATCATTAAAACTTGCGTTGATAAATAGGATTCATCGTTACGACTTGAAAAGAAAAAACATGGTCCACAAAATGCTTTACCTGTGCTTTCAGAGTAGACTAACCAAAACCTCTCGATTTTTTCACCATTTGGTAATAAACGTTCAAACATATTTTTGGTCATACATCTAGATTCTAATTTAGAGTTTATAAAATCACAATTTTTGTATATATTAACATCAAAACCATTTATAGAAAAATAATCACGCGCATGTTCGTTGACAGTCCAAAATGCCGGATCTTTATTAAAAGAAAAAGATGATTCAAGAATATAACATGATTCAGGAGTGCTAATTGTTCCGTGAATAATAAATTGGGAGTTTCGGATTCAGAATTACTTGTTATCACACTTATTTCCACACTATCAGTAGGTATTAATTTATTAATTTCCTCTGCCGTTAAATTAGGAAATTCAGATTCAGAAGAACTTATAACATTATTTATTTCCACACCATCAGTAGGTATTACGTCATTGCTTTGATCTAATACAGTACTACTCGAATGTCTCGAATTCACATTTGTTTGATTTGCATCGTCAATATTTTTAACAAATAAAAATTTATCCAGTTTTATGGTTTGATTTATAGCTTTTTTTTCTCTTTCTTCCTTTTCTCTTGCTGCTTTTTTATATTGTGCTCCGCTCAATCTCTTTCTATGCATTTTTATACCGATAAAAATCAAATTTGAATGATGAAAATATTTACCTATAACACACCGCGTAGGGAATAAAAAAAATCAACAAGTGTTTTATACTTTTATTTAATGGGCTTGTAAAAATTAATAAATCAAGAATTTGAAATTCCAAATAAGAACTAATGCATACGAATATTCATAAAAATAAAATTCAGTTTTGCAAGCCTTAGCACTAATTTATCGCTATAATATTATAGTGTTTATAAAATATAGTGTTTACTTACCAGTAATTTAAGTAGTATACTAATAAGTAATAACCGAATATGTCTATCCGCCTTGAATGTTGTGTTGAAAATAACCTATTTTCTACTCGGCCGCCCTCTATTTAATAGTCCCGAAGAAACATAAACAATTATTACATAATTTTATCTTTTGGATAGAAAAAGTTTTATTTTTGTACACATAATGCATAGTACGAACGAGTATATTATTATATAAAAATATTCACAGTGACTGGTTTATAATTAGACTATCGTTCCAATACGAATCGCGATCGTCACCCGTATTCGTATTAAATATATCATATCTGTATGTATTGTGCGTGTAGTGTGTGTACGCCGTGCGATCAAACGAACCACGAGCTATTATTAATAATTATTACGATTTAGCAAAAAAACAAAATAACGAAATATTCAAATATGTTATCTATGTTTAGTATTTAGATAATAGATCTACGTTCCGGCAGTCGTTCGATAATTTACTTGGACGTTTATTGTTATGTATTATAAAATAAAGAAGAAATTATATTAACAAGAATATTATTATACTTAAATATTGAACATTTTTTTTCCATCCTTCATAGTAATCACCGTACATTAGAAAATCAAAAAAAAACCTAGAATATTCTCAATAAAATATTGGCCTAAAATTGCCGCCCCTAAAAATTTGCCGCCCTAGACAACTGCCTACTTTGCCTGACGCTAAATCCGCCACTGAATATAAGAGACTAGCTCTCCGAGCGTCGCTGGGGGACACCCCCAGACCCCCGTGACCGGACCCCGAGTGTTGTCGATTTCGGAAGCAGCGGTGGTCTCGTGGTGTGGTCGACACGGTATATCGGCGAACAGGTGGTATGCCGATAAGGATGTATGATAAGGCTAGGACCACTGCGGTTCGACGTGGTAGCCAGGGCAGAGTCTTTGACAGTCTTTTCGACGACGCCGCCGAAAATTCGAAATTTGGTAAAAAAAATAATATAGTAATATTTGTGGGTGTCTAGCAGTTCGGTCACCTAGAGTGACGTTCGCCGTAGTAATAGTATTTGGGGTCTAGCGGGTCAGTCAAGTTCCGCGACTTTGGTCGTAGTCACCCTTTTTCACAATATTCGACGGTCGGGGCACGTCGTCACGTATGCAATCCGACTGCGTCGAATAGCGGACGACGTTCTTTACTGTTGCCGATAACGCAAAATTAAAGAATAAAATTCAAAATATTCCGGGCTTCCGTGCAAATCATATGGCCACCGTCTGATTTTTTGGTGTCTAGCAGGTCACCCATCTACGTTATCCGGGTAGGCAATGTGCGGCCGGGACAGCGTCCATTACAGACACCAAATCAATGAAGAAATGAAAATTCAAAACATTTCGTAAGCAATCCGACTACCGAGTCCCCTTCCTCGACGTAATTACTCGAAAATATGTTTTGGGGTCTAGCAGGGGATCTAGGGTCTAGCGTCGGATAGCGGACAACGTGTGACTTCTGACGCAAAATTAAGTAATAGGTCACGTGCAAAATAAATGGTATATGTCTTGGTGTCTAGAGGTTCAGTCACCTTCCTCGACGTTGGACGTAGTAACCCTGGTAGGCAATCTGACTTCGTCGGATAGTGCGACGTCCGGGTCAAGGCATGAAAACGCCAAATGACGTAAATCAAATATATATAAATAATAACATTTCGGGCGCCCGTGCTAGTCGTAATATATTCCCCGTGATTTGTTGAGTGTCTAGCAAGTCGGGCGGTCACGTTTAATAGTTTTTTTCGTTTATAGCAGTAGAGCGATTTAGAAGCGAAACTCGGTCAGCTGATTGGGATTTCGTTTCCCAATGGTCCTCCGAAAAACACGGAAACGTTTCCGCGCACCGACATGATGTCAGACCCAATATCTCTCGTATCACATAATAGGCGGGAAGTTATCCGCTGATACCGCCGAGTGGATAGACGATAAACGGTCGGTGATAAGGCCTACAGGTTTGGCGGTATTCTGTCGAAGGCGGGAATGTTTGAAAACCATTTTTGCGTGTGTATCAATAAAATCGAGTGATGGTCCTAAGGCATTATTATGACCATATGAAAAAAATTTGCAAAAATGAAATAAGAACGATGGCCAAAAGTGTAAGGTTTAATGCCGTGTTCGAATGAATAATATAAAACTATAAGATAATTAATTTGTCAATACAATAAATAAATTAATCGGCCGTGCGATATTGTTTCCCGCATGGGTTACCTGCTTTGACTCTTGTTATTGTCGCCGTTCTAAGACCAAGCACTGCGCCGAGTGCCGACTTCCGACTTTAAAATCATTTCATTCAAACCGTCTGAACCAGAAACACGTGAGTATACATTGTATTATTAATTTAATTGGTGGCTTTTTAAAAACCTTTTTTACACCGCAGATCGTAGGTAATTTATCAATTAATATAATGTAACACATGCTTTCCGATTAACGAATTTAATATTTTATCATACCATCAGCATATAATAATACCGACAGATCACTTAAAGTTTCGTTTTACTATACACTTTCTTTATTGCTTTTAATTTGTCAACTTTAGAATGAGTAACAACGTATAAAACATTAGCGGCAATTGCCAAGCGTAGGTACATGAGGTACATTATTTATAATAATATAAAAGTTTTACTATACACTTTCTTTATTTCTTTAGAATGAGTATAATAAGAAACATTGGATTGTTTTTTAACACGTCCAACGCGGATCCTTTTTATGAATTAATAATATCTTATTATAATAATATATATATTTGCGAAGAAAATCGAGCCTTAGTTTTGTTTGTAACACATGGTTTCTGTGAAACAAATTAAATATTTTTTCTATTTTTTTTTTGTTTTTAACACGTTCACCTACGATCGCATCAATCAAATAATATTGTTATAAAATATACATTTGCGAAGAAAACCGTGACTTAGTTTTAGTGTGCACCACATGCTTTTTGTTTAACGAATTTAATATTTTATAATATCACCAACATATAATAATACCGACAGATCACTTAAAGTTTCGTTTTACTATACACTTTCTTTATTGCTTTTAATTTGTCAACTTCAGAATGAGTAACAACGTATAAAACATTAGCGGCAATTGCCAAGCGTAGGTACATGAGGTACATTATTTATAATAATATAAAAGTTTTACTATACACTTTCTTTATTTCTTTAGAATGAGTATAATAAGAAACATTGGATTGTTTTTTAACACGTCCAACGCGGATCCTTTTTATGAATTAATAATTTCTTATTATAATAATATATAAATTTGGGAAGAAAATCGAGCCTTAGTTTTGTCTGCAACACATGGTTTCTGTGAAACAAATTAAATATTTTTTCTATTTTTTTTTTTTGTTTTTAACACGTTCACCTACGATCGCATCAATCAAATAATATTGTTATAAAATATACATTTGCGAAGAAAACCGTGACTTAGTTTTAGTGTGCACCACATGCTTTTTGTTTAACGAATTTAATATTTTATAATATCACCAACCTAATAATGCAGACCAATCAATTGTCTTTTTCAACTTTCTTTATTTGTTTTTATTTATTAACTTTAGAATGAGCAATATTTACAAAAATCTGAACAACTGCCAGTTTTACATGGGCCAAAGCGCCCAGAGCCCACCAGGAAACCGCGCCCGACGTAAGCATACATTTGGTTAATATATATATTGTTTAAAATTGGAAACGATTAAAATAATATCTACCCGTTTCAGAATGTTACAATTGCGGAAGAGAGGGCCACCTCTCCCGGGATTGCGGTGAGTGTTTACTTTACATATTCCTTAATAACAGTCTTATTATTATATTGTATACAATTGTAATTTATATTGTAGCCAAGCCCAGGGGTGTAGTTGGTGGTAGCGGCGGCGGCAACAGTAGTGGTCGTGGTGGCATAAGGCGTCGGGGAGGTTGTGTTGGCAGAGGCAGGGGCGGTGGCGTCGCTGGCGGTGGCAGTGGCAGGGGAGGTGGTGGCGGCAGCGGCGGCAGTGGTCGTGATGGTGGATGGCGGCGGGGAGGTGGCAGAGGAGATGACCATCCAAGGCCCCTCTCCAGATCCCGCTCACCATTATCACGGGCACCATCAAACGTAAGGATTCATTAATATTTTTTAAAAAAAATCCAATTACATTTCTATGTAAGTCTAACTAAAGAATAATTTTCAGGAGGTCCGTCGGCAGCGACAGCGCGACGATCGTCGTGATTGGGGAAGGCGGCTGGGAGGAGGCAGAGGCGATGACGATCGAAGGCCCCTCTCCAGATCCCGCTCCCCATCATCACGAGCGACGTCGAACGTAAGGATTTATTAATATTTTTAAAAATATATCCAATTACATTTCTATGTAAATCTAATTAAACGAATAATTTCCCTCGTCGACGGTCCCCGAGCCCTGCTTCGCCACCGTCCAGCGTTGTAAGTATATTATATTAGTGAAAAATTTAAAAAAATATTCAAGTTTTCGAAAATGATAAATCTAATTAAACAAATTATTTTCAGGAGCTCTACTTCGAGGAGTGCGGTACGCCACCGCCAAACGCCGTAAGCATATATTTATATACATTTATTTAGGTGTTTGATATTGATAATTTTATTCTAATTTAACTTCATTTTCAGGAAATCAGTTCCTCCCAAGATCACGGGGCAAAACAATGTAAGGATATAATATAAATACTTTAGTTTTTGAAATTAATAAATCTAATCAAACATATTATTTTCAGGTACCGAGAGTAGAAGCGA